TTATATTTTTCTTAAAATGCCTCCTGCATCTTAATGATAACAGCGGATAATATCCTGGGAGAGAGTGAGAGAGACTGGAATCCACAATCTACCTATAACACTGGGCTGCTCATGTAGAGAATTGGACAATGTCACAGAGGTTATTGCATATGGAGGAAGCCTTATGCACTTGTATGTAACAAAGGAAATTAGCACAATTTTGAAGAGCCCTTGGAATATTTAGATACATAAAAAAATACACATGTAACACTCAATGTCACCACAGTTATCTCCATCCTCGATTCTAGGAACATGAACCCACAAACTGGTTATTCAGGTCCACAAAGTCCTACGTACATATGGTATTAAATGCTGGCAAAAAATTGGAGGATAATTGGATGTCTTTTCTGGGGGAAGTGAGTATGGTGCAGCACCTGGAAGTCACAGACTGGATGCAGACATACTTCATCCATGCTGTCTCTCTGATATTTTAAAGCAAGGCTTGGAAGTAGTAGGACTGATTTTTATCCATGTGGTGGAACAATGAGAAATGAACTTATGATCTTTGGGACTGATTTTAACTCATCATGAGGATTTGGATAAAACGAGAAAGCGTGTGAGAACGGAAAAGCACCATGAAGAAAAAAGAAGATGAAGTTCTAGGGAAGCAGCAACTCTAGACCTTGGCCTGGGGGTTCTTTATTAGAATCCTCAAATAACAAATTCGTGACTTTTCAACACCTGTCAGCTGTGTGAGAAATTCCACTGTGGTGAGCCAGCTCCAGTTCATTTCTGATACTTTCTCCCAACCCAACTCGCCAGCTGCTTCCTGAGTTGGGTCCATAGGGTTTGTGCACTCAGGGGAAGGAACGTTTCAGCACTGTGGACTCACTGCTAGCACAGAGGTACAGGGCTGAGTCCTCTGGTTCAGATGACTTGATTTCCAGGCTGCAGGGTGAGTCTTGGGGATAGTCAACTGAGAATCGGTCTTTGAACTTGTCTATTTGATCAGTAGCTTCTCTGTTCCAAAAATAAATCAAAAATTTCAACCCTTCATTCTGCTTTTGTTGATACCAGTAGAGACCATTATGTCCTTTTTTAGGGACACAAGTCATCTTTGCTTGCTGTCCTTTCCTTTTGACCAGATGTCTTGGCATCTGGGTAACTTCATCATCAGAAAATCCTGGAAGAGAAGGGAACAGAAGGTAAGGCCAAGCCCCGGAGAGTTGCTGGTGCAGAAAAGGGTTTGATTTTGGATTGGCAAGCCCAGGAGGAGGATTTTCTTCTGTACTTCTGTGCTGGGGCCTCACCTGCTCCCAGGAGACAAAGGGCCACACAGCACAGGAGCCATGCGGCCATGGTAGTAATGAAGTGGTAAAGGGCTGAGGTTGTTTCAGTCCTCATCAGCAGCCTGCCTGTGACGTGACTGCTTGGCAGACTGAGTCTTCACGGGACTGACTCATGATCCTGGCAACACACTGGAACCAGAATGAGAGTTTTAGCTTCACTCAGTAAATATACCTGGTTTATATCTCATTTATTTACAGTATATAACTATATGAACTAGAGAGAGAGAGAAAGAAGGAGATAGATAGATAGATAGATAGATAGATAGATAGATAGATAAAGACAGAGAGAGAGAGAGACATAGAGACAGAAAGACAGAGAGAGACAGAATGATATAGATTTTCAGATGGAAAGAGAGCACCATTAGACTTTTGTCAAGTACTTATTTAGTAGTATTAATAAATCTTACTCTCTGTCTGTTTTTATGTCCAATTTCCTAGTCAATCTTTCATTTTACTGGTTCTGTTTTTTCTTAAACTGTAATCTACAACTTCATATGAGTAAACACCAGTAGGTCTTTTTTTAGGGATATAACTTATCTTTTCTTGTGCTTTTTGTTCTTTCTGTTTGACCTACTGTCTTGGCATCTGGATGAGTTTGTTAGCACAAAGGTATGGAAGATAAAAAAACTAAAGGTAAGGAAAAAATTCCCAAGTGTCCCACATCCATAAAAGGGTTTGGATCTCGGTTGGTGGAGTTATAAAAGAAAATAACAAAACAATCATGCTACTACTTGAAGATTGACTAGACTGCTAATGTTTTATTTATAGTCATTGGTGATATTTCCTTCATGTCTCTTCCTTTCCATCTCTCTCACTTCATCGCAGGGTTTTGGTATGATTTATATTTTTCTTAAAATGCCCCCTGCATCTTAATGATAACAGCGGATAATATCTTGGGAGAGAGCGAGAGAGACTAGAATCCACAATCTACCTATAACACTGGGCTACTCATCTAGAGCAGTGAACAATGTCACAGAGGTTATTGCTTATGGAGGAAGCCTTATGCACTTGTGTGTGAGAAAAGGAAATTAACTAATTTTGAAGAGCCCTTGGGATATTTAGATACATAAAAATTACACATGTAGCACTCAGTGTCTCCACAGTTATCTCCATCTTTGATTTTAGGCACATGAGCCCATAAACTGGCTATTCAGGTCCACAAAGTCCTAAGTCCATGTGGTTTTCTATGCAGGCAAAAAATTGGAGGACGCTTGGATGTCTTTTCTGGAGGAAGTGAGCATTGTGCTGCACCTAGAAGTCCGAGACTGGATGCAGACACAACGTGATGTGTTTCATTTACTTTGAGCTGAGTGGAAAAAATCAAAGCAGCAGAATGACTTCCCAAATAAAATAGCACGTGATTTTAAGTACAGACATGCATGGCTAGAGTTGAGCACTCCAGGAGAATGTCATGGCTAGGTCATACGTAATCCATGTTGTCTCTTTGACATTGTAAAACCAGGCTTGAAAAGAGTCAGGCTGATTTTTGTCAGTCTGGTAGAACAATGAGAAATGAACTTAAAATCTTTGGGAATCATCTTACCTTATCATGAGGATTTGGACAAATGGAGAAAGAGTGTGTGACAAGGGAAAAGCACCAGTAGAGAAAGAAGAAGATGAAGTTCTAGTGAAGCAGCAACCCTAGACCCAGGCCCTGGGGTCCTTTATTAGAATCATCAAGCAACAAAGTCTTGACTTTTCAACACCAGTTAGCTGTGTAAGAAACTGCACTGTGGTTAGCCAGCTCCAGTTCAGTTCTGTTACTTCCTCCCAACCCAACTCATCAGCTGCTTCCTGAGTTGGTTCCGTGGGGTTTGTGCCCTCAGGGGAAGGAACATTTCAGCACTGTGGACTGACTGCTAGCACAGAGGTACAGGGCTGAGTCCTCTGGTTCAGATGACTTGATTTCCAGGCTGCAGGGTGAGTCTTGGTGACACTCAGCTGAGAATCGATCCCTGAACATATCTATTTGATCAAGAACTTCTCTATTCAAAAAATGAATCAAATACTTCAACTCTTCATTCTGCTTTTTTGATACCAGTTAAGAGCACTATGTCCTTTTTTAGGGACACAACTCGTCTTTGCTTTCTATCCTTTCCGTTTGATTAGACATCTTGGCATCTGGATAACCTCATCATCAGAAAATCCTGGAAGAGATGGGAATGGAGGATAAGGCCAAAACCCCAGAGTGTTGTTGGTACAGGAAAGGGCTTCAGTTTGGATTGGCAGGCCCAGGATGAGGATTTTCTTCTGCGCTTCTGTGCTGAGGCCTCACCTGCTCCCAGGAGACAACGGGCCACACAGCACAGGAGCCATGCGGCCATGGTTGCACCCAGAGGCAAAAGGCTGAGGGTGTTTCAGTCCTCATCAGCAGCCTCCCTGTGACGTGACTGCCTGGAAGACTCAGACTTCATGCGATTGACCCATGTGCCTGGCAAAACACTTCCTGGTACCAGAAGGAGAGCTTTTAGCATCACTCAGTAAATATACCTGGTTTATATCTCATTTATTTACTATGTTTACATATATTTTTATTATTATAAGCAATGTGAGTATATATATGCATAGATATAATGTTTAGAAAGTTATAAAATAAAAAACATAATAGTATGGTACTGCTGGACAGTTATTGCCCTGTATATCAAATTTCAATAATCTTTGAAGACATCATGCTCATCTCTCTTTCCTCACATTTCTAATACTTCATGCTAAATGCTGGGTATTATTTATTTTTTTCTTAGACTGTCTTCTGCATCTTTGTGGTAACCACTGATAAACTCTTGTAAGAGAGTGAGGGAGACTGAAATTGCTCATCCCCCTAGATTACTGTATTGACCACAGTCTAGACCATTGGATTTCACTGGAATTACCAGGTTATGGAAGTAAGCTCTATGCGCTTGTATGTAAGAATGGAAATTATAGCACAAATTTGAAAAACTGTCAGGAGATCTTCAGGCACATAAAATAAAATGCATGGGTAGCACTCAGTGTCTCAACACTTACCTCTGTCTATGATTGTAGACATATAATCCTATAAACTGATTGTTCAGGTCCATAAGGACCTACAGCCAAGTGACTTGAGCACAGACAGCATTTGGAAGTCAATGAGGTGTCTTCAGGAAGAAGGGAGGATGGAGTATTGTGCAGCACTTAGAGGTCAAGACTGGATGTACACAAAGAAACATGGAAACTTTCATTTATGCTGAGCTCAGTGGAAACATCTAAGAGGCAGAATTCACCTATAATAAAGTCACACTTATGTGATTTTTCAATACGTAAACGCATGGGTGGAGTTTGGTGCTCCAGGAGAAGGATATGACTGGGTCATGTGTAATTGATTCTGTCTTTGAGATTTTAAGCCAAAGCATGTAAGAACATGGGCTGATCATTATCACAGTGGTGGTTCTTAACTCATCATGAAGATTTGGACAAAAAGAGAAAGAGATCATTCAGGGAGAGAAAAAGATAAAGGAGACAGAGGAGAAGTTCTGAAAAGTTAACAAACCTAGAACCTGGCTCAGGGGTCCTTTATCAGATTCTTCAACCTACTAACAATTCTTGACTTTTCAACACCTGTCAGCCTTGAGAAACTGCACTGTGCTTAGCCAGCTCCAGTTCATTTCGGTTACTTCCTCCCAACCCAACTCTCCAGCTGCTTCCTGAGTTGGGTCCATGGGGTTTGTGCATTCAGAGGAAGGAACATTTCAGCACTGTGGACTCACTGCTAGCACAGAGGTACAGGGCTGAGTCCTCTGGTTCAGATGACTTGATTTCCAGGCTGCAGGGTGAGTCTTGGGGATATTCAGCTGAGAACTGGTCTTTGAAATTATCTGTTTGATGAAGAATGTCTCTGTTCTGAAAATAAACCAAAAACTTCAACCCTTCATTCTGCTTTTGTTGATACCAGTAAAGAGCATTATGTCCTTTTTTAGGGACACAACTCATCTCTGCTTTCTGTCCTTTCCATTTTATCAGATGTCTTGGTATCTGGGTTACTTCATCATCAGAAAAGCCTGGAAGAGAAGGAAAGATAAGTTAAGGTTGAAGACCGGGAGAGTTGCTGTTACAGAAAAGGGTTAGCGTTTGGACCGGCTAGTCCTGCATGAGGGTTTTCTTCTGTGTTTCTGTGCTCAGGCCTAACCTGCTCCCAGGAGACAAAGAGCCACACAGCAGAGGAGCCATGTGGCCATGGTCGCATCCAAGTGACAAAAGGCTGAGGCTGTTCCAGTCCTCATAGCAAGCCTTCCTGTGATTTTACTTCTTAGCAGACTCAGTCTTCCTGGGAGTGACCCCTTGTGGCTGGCAACACACTTCCTGGAACCAGAAGTAGAGCTTTTAGCTTCACTCAGTAAATATACATGGTTTATATCTCATTATTTACACTAAATTATATATATATGTAAACTAAAGAAAGAGAAAGATAGACAGAGAGAGAAATTGCGTGAGAAAGAGAGTGAGAGAGCATTCACCATACAGCTTTTGATTGGAAAGAAAGCACCATCTGTTAGACTTTGGTAAATTATTGATTTAGTAGTGTAGAGAAATCATCCTCTTTCTCTGTCTACTTCTATGCTCTAATTCCCTATTAAATCTTTGATTTCATTGATTCTCTTTTTTCTTAAATTGTCTTCAACAACTTTATATCACTGAACACCAGTAGGTCTTTCTTTAGGAATACAATTCATCTTTTCTTTTGCTTTCTGTTCTTTCTATTTGACCTGATGTCTTGGCATCTGGAGAAGTTTGTCAGCACAAAAGCATGGAAAAGAAGAAAGTGAAAGCTAAGGAAAAACTCTTGAGGATCCCTGACAGAAAAGGGTTTGGATCTCGGTTGATTGAGTTATAAAACAAAATAACATAACAATCACGTTACTGCATGACAGATGACTAGGCTGTTAATGTTTCATGACAGGCATTTACCATATTTCCTTCATGTCTCTTCCCTTCCATCTCTCTCACTTCATCGCAGGGTTTTGGTATGATTTATATTTTTCTTAAAATGCCCTCTGCATCTTAATGATAACAGCGGATAATATCTTGGGAGAGAGTGAGAGAGACTGGAATCCACAATCTACCTATAACACTGGGCTGCTCATCTAGAGCACTGGACAATGTCACAGGAGTTATTGAACATGGAGGAAGCCTCATGCACTTGTATGTGAAAAAGGAAATTGGCATAGTTATGAGGAGCCCTTGGGATATTTAGATACATAAAATATGCACATGTAACACTCAATGTCTCCACAGTTATCACCATCTTTGATTCCAGTCACATGAGCCCATAAACTGGCTATTCAGGTCCACAAAGTCCTAAGTTCATGGGTTTTCAATACTGGCAAAAAATTGGAGGAAAATTGGACATCTTTTCTGGAGGAAGTGAGTATCATGCTGCACCTAGAAGTCACAGACTGGATGCAGACACAGCATGATGTGTTTTGTTTACTCTGAGATGAGCGGAAAAGATTTTAGAGGCAGAATGACTTCCAAAATAAAATACCATGTGATTTCAAGTACATACATGCATGGCTAGAGTGCTCCAGGAGAAGGTCATGGCTGGGTCATGCTTAATTGATACAGTGATATTTTAGAGCCAGGTTGATTTTTATCCATGTGGTGGAACAATCACAAATGAACATTTAATCTTTCGGACTCATCTTAACTCATCCTTAGGGTGAGGACAAAAGAAAAAGAATGTGTGAGAAGGGAAACGCATGAGATAGATGACAAAGATGGAGTTCTGCAGAGGCAGTAACTCTAGACACAGACCCAGGGGTTCTTTATTAGAATCTTCAACCCACTTATTCATAACTTTTTAACACTCCTTAGCTGTATAAGGAGCTTCACTATAGTTAGCCAAGTCCAGTTCATTTCTGTTACTTCCTCCCAGCCCAACTCATCGGCTGCTTCCTGAGTTGGGTCCATGGGGTTTGTGCACTCAGAGGAAGGAACATTTCAGCACTGTGGACTGACGGCTAGCACAGAGGTACAGGCCTGAGTCTTCTAGTCCAGAGGACTTGATTTCCAGGCTGCAGGGTGAGTCTTGGGGACACTCAGCTGAGAATCGGTCCTTGAACTTATCTGTTTGATCAAGAACTTCTCTGTTCTCAAAACAAATCAGAAACTTCAACCCTTCATTCTACTTTCATTGGTACTAGTAAACAACAGTGTGTCCTTTTTAGGGGCACAACTCATCTTTGCTTGCTGTCCTTTCCATTGGACCAGATGTCTTGGTTTCTGGGTAACTTCATCATCAGAAAAGCCTGGAAGAGAAAGACACAGAAGGTAAGGCCCAGGCCAAGAGTGCTGCTGATACAGAAGAGGGTTTGGGTTTGGATTGTCGGGCCCTGGATGAGAGTTTTCTTCTGTGCTTCTGTGCTCAGGCTTAACCTGCTCCCTGGAGACAAAAGGTCACACAGCAGAGGAGCCATGTGGCCATGGTTGCACCCAGTGGCAAAAGGCTGAGGCTATTTCAGTCCTCATCAGCAGCCTCCCTGTGATGTGACTTTTGGCAGACTCAGTCTTCATGGGATTGAGTCATGTTCCTGGCAACACACTTCCTGAAATCAGAAGGAGAGCTTTTATCTTCACTCAGTAAATATACCTGGTGTATATCTCATTTTTTTGCAATAATTTATAACCCTTTCTACTACTATAAACAATGTGTCTCTGTGTATATATATATGTATATATATAACATTTTTAAAATTATGAAATAAAATAACAAAATAATAATTGTACTGATGAACAATAATTACCCTGTATATCAATTATCCCACCTCTTTAAAGAGATCGCCCTCATCTCTCTTTCCTCCCATCTCTCACATTTCTTGCTATATTCAGGTATCATTTATTTTTTCACTGATCTGTCTTCCACATCTTTGTGATAACCACTGACGAAATCCTGGGAGAGAGTGAGGGAGACTGGATTTTCTAATACCCCTAGATCACTGCACCGTCCACAGTCTAGGGCATTGGATGTCACAGGGGTTTTGAGGTTACAGAAGTAAGCCTTACGCACCTGTGTACAAGAATGGAAATTATAGCACAAATCTGAAGAGCCCTCAGGAGATCTTTAGGCACATAAAATAAAATGCATAGGTGGTACTCAGTGTCTCAACAGTTACCTCTATCCATGATATAGACATATAATCCTACATTGATTATTCAGGTCCGTAAACACCTATGTCCAAGTGACTTGAGCACCAAAAGGCAATTGAAAGACATTGAGGTGCCTTTTCAGGAGAAGGGGGCATGGAGTATTGTTTTGCACTTAGAAGTCACAGACTGGTTGTACACAAAGAAACATGGAAATTTTCATTTATTGTGAGCTGAATGGAAACATCTAAGAGGTAGAATTTCATCTATAATAAAATAACACATGTGTAATTTTAAACATAAATACATAACTAGAGTTCAGTGCTCCAGGAAAAGGGCATAGCTGGGTCATGTGTCATTGATTGTCTCTCTCAAAGAGTGTAAGAACATAAACTGATCTTTATCACAGTCGTGTGGTTCTTAACTCATTACGAAGATTTGGACAAAAAGACAAAGAGAACATGCAGGAGAGCAAATGAGAAGGGAGACAAAGAAGAGGGAGTTCTGCAGAGGAAGAAACCCTAGGCCCTGGCCCAGGGTGTCCTCTATCAGAATCTTCAACCCACCACCAATTCTTGACTTTTCAACACCCGTCAGCTGTGTGAGAAACTCCACTGCTGTGAGCCAGCTCCAGTTCATTTCTGTTACTTCCTCCCAACCCAACTCGCCAGCTGCTTCCTGAGTTGGGTCTATGGGGTTTGTGCACTCAGAGGAAGGAACATTTCAGCACTGTGGACTGACTGCTAGCACAGAGGTACAGGGCTGAGTCTTCTAGTTCAGATGACTTGATTTCCAGGCTGCAGGGTGAGTCTTGGGGATATTCAGCTGAGAATCGGTCCTTGAACATATCTGTTTGATCAAGAATTTCTTTGTTCCCAAAATAAGCCAAAAACTTCAACCCTTCATTCTGCTTTTGTTGATACCAGTAAAGAGCAGTATGTCCTTTTTTAGGGACACAACTCATCTTCGCTAGCTGTCCTTTCCATTTGATCAGATGTCGTGGTGTCTGGGTAACTTCGTCATCAGAAAAGCCTGGAAGAGAAGGAAAGATAAAGTAGGGTTGAAGTCCGGGAGTGTTACTGAGACAGATAAGAGTTAGGATTTGGACTGTCAAGCCCTGGATGAGGGTTTTCTTCTGTGCTTCTATGCTCAGGCCTCACCTGCTCCCAGAAGACACAGGGCCACACAGCAGAGGAAACAAGTGGCCATGGTCACATCCAAGTGACAAAAGGCTGAGGCTGTTTCAGTCCTCATAGGCAGCCTGCCTCTGACGTGACTGCTCGACAGACTGTCTTCATGGGACTGATTCATGTGCCTGGCAACACACTTCCTGGTACCGGAAAGAGAGCTTTTTGCTTCACTCAGTAAATATACCTGGTTTATATCTCATTTATGTACACTAATTTATCACCATTTTACTTCTATAAGCACTGTGTATACATATATATACATATAATGCATAAATATCTATTGTATTTATGAAGTTATAAAATGGAATAAAAAAATAATAATGGTACTACCAGAGAGTGATTACCCTGTATATCAATTATCCGTAGTCTTTGAAGGCAGTGCCCTCATCTCTCTTGCCTGTATTTCTCACATTTCCATTTAAATTCAGGTATTAATTATTTTTTTCCTAGATTGTCTTACACATCTTTGTACTAACCACTGGTGATATCTTGGGAGAGAGTGAGGGAGAGTGAAATTGCTAAGTCCTGTAGATCACTGCCCTGGCCACATTCTAGAGCATTGGATGTCACAGGGCCTATGAAGTTATGGAAATAAGCCTTATGTGCTTGTGTGTAAGAATGGAAATTATAGCACCAATGTGAAGAGCCCTAGGAGATCTTCAGACACATAAAATAAAATGCATGGGTAGCACTCAGTGTCTCAACAGTTACCTCTATCCATGATTCTAGACATATAATTCTATAAACTGATTATTCAGGTCCATAAAGACCTATGGCCAAGTGACTTGAGTGCAGAAAGACAATTGGGAGATAAAGAGGTGTTTTTTTTTTTTAGGAGAAGGGAGCATGGAGTATGGTTTCACACTTAGAAGTCACTGATTGGATGTACACAAAGAAACATGGAAGCTTTCATTTATTTTGAGCTGTGTGAAAACATCTAAGAGGCAGAATTTCATCTATAATAAAATAATACTTGTGTGATTTTCAGCACATAAATTCAAGGCTGGAGTTCAGTGCTTCAGGAAAAGGACCTTCAAGGTTATGTGTAATTGATTCTCTCTCTGATACTTTAAAGCAAAGCCTGTAAGGACTTGGGGTGATCTTTATACAGTGGTGGGTCTTAACTCATCATGAAGATTTGCACAAAAAGACAAAGAGAACATGCAGGAGAGAAAAAGACAGGACAGACAAAGGAGAAGAGGGAGTTCTGGAAAGCCTTCAACCCTAGACCCTGATCCAGGGTGTCCTCTATCAGAATCTTCAATCCACCATCAATTCTTGACTTTTCAACACCCATCAGCTGTGTGAGAAACTCCACTGTGTTGAGCCAGCTCCAGTTCATTTCTGTTACTTCCTCCCAACCCAACTCTCCAGCTGCTTCCTGAGTTGGGTCCATGGGGTTTGTGCACTCAGGGGAAGGAACATTTCAGCACTGTGGACTGACTGCTAGCACAGAGGTACAGGGCTGAGTCTTGTAGTTCAGATGACTTGATTTCCAGGCTGCAGGGTGAGTCACAGAGACGTCCAGCTGAGAATCAGTCCTTGAACTTGTCTGTTTGATCAACAAACATCTGAAAGGAAATCAAAAACTTCAACCCTTCATTCTGCTTTTGTTGATACCAGTAAAGAGCAGTGTGTCCTTTTTGAGGGGCACAACTCATCTCTGCTTGCTGTCCTTTCCATTGGACCAGATGTCTTGGTACCTGGGTAATTTCATCATCAGAAAAGCCTGCAAAAGAAGGGAACAGAACGTAACGCCATGGCCCAGAGCACTGTGGATCCAGAAAGGGTTAGTGTTTGGACTGGCAGGCCCTGGATGAGAGTTTTCTTCTGCGCTTCTGTGCTCAGGCCTCACCTGCTCCCGGGAGACAAAGGGCCACACAGCAGAAGAGCCATGTGGCCATGGTCTCATCTAGTGGTAAACGGCTGAGGCTGTTTCAGTCCTCATCAGCAGCCTTCCTGTGATGTGACTGCTCGGCAGACTCAGTCTTCACAGGACTGACTCATGTTCCTGGCAACACACTTTTGGAAGTCAAATGAGAGCTTTAACTTCACTCAGTAAATATACTTGGTTTACATCTTATTTATTTATTATATTGATATTTATTTTTACTGCTAAAAATAAAATGTGTACAGATATATATACATATAATATTCTATTTAAAAGTTATAAAATAAAATAACAAAATAATAATGGTACTGCTGAACAATGATTAGCCTGTAAGTCAATTATTAATAGTCTTTGAAGATATCACCCTCATCTCTCTTTCCCTTCTTCTCTCACACTTCCTGCTAAATCCTAGGTATTATCTATTTCTTCCCAAATTATCTTCTTCATCTTTGTGATATCCACTGATGATATCTTGGGAGAGAGTGAGGGAGGCTGGAATTTCTAATACCCCTAGACCTCTGCCCTGGCCACAGTCTAGGGCATTGGATGTCACAGGGGTTTTGAGGTTATGGAAGTAAGCCTCATGCACCTGCGTATAGGAATGGACATGTTAGCACAAATTTGAAGAGCCCTCAGGAGATCTTCAGTCACATAAAATAAAATGCATAGGTGGCACTCAGTGTCTCAACAGTTACCTCTATCCATGGTTCAAGGCATATAATCCTATACTAATTATTCAGGTCCATAAAGACCTATGTCCAAGTGACTTGAATACGGACAGGCAATTGCAGGACAGTGAAGTGTCTTTTCAGGAAAAAGGGAGCATGGAGTACTGTGTAATACATAGATGGATGTACACAAAGAAACATGGATGTACACAAAGAAACATGGAAACTTTCATTTATTCTAAGCTCAGTGGAAACACCTAAGAGAAAAAATTTCATCTATAATAAAATAACAGGTCTGATTTTCAGTACATAAATGCATGGCTAGAGTTCACTGCTCCAGGAGAAGGACGGGGCTGGGTCATATGTAATTCATTCTGTCTCTGAGATTTTAAAGCAAAGCTTGGAAGGACTTGGGCTGATCTTTATCACGGTGGTGTTTCTTTACTCACCATGAAGATTTGGACAAAAAGAGAAAGAGAACATGCAGAAGAGAAAAAGATAGAGGAGACAAAGAGGGAGTTCTGCAGAGGCAGCCACCCTAGACCCTGGCCCAGGGTGTGCTCTCTCAGAATAATCAACCCACCACCAATTCTTGACTTTTCAACACCCATCAGCTGTGTGAGAAACTGCACTGCTGTGAGCCAGCTCCAATTCATTTCTGTTACTTCCTCCCAACCCAACTCGCCAGCTGCTTCCTGAGTTGGGTCCATGGGGTTTGTGCGCTCAGGGGAAGGAACATTTCAGCACTGTGGACTCACTGCTAGCACAGAGGTACAGGGCTGAGTCTTGTAGTTCAGATGACTCAATTTCCAGGCTGCAGGGTGAGTCTTGGAGACAGTCAGCTGAGACTCGGTCCTTGAACATATCTGCTTGATCAAGAATTTGTTTGTTCCCAAAATAAGCCAACAACTTCAACCCTTCGTTCTGCTTTTGCTGATACCAGTAAAGAGCAGTATGTCCTTCTTAGGGACACAACTCATCTTCGCTTGCTGTCCTTTCCATTTGAGCAGGTTCCTTGGCACTTGGGTAACTTTATCATCAGAAAATCCTGGAAGAGAAGGGAAGAGCTGGTAAGACCCAAACCTGGGAGTGTTGCTGATACAGGAAAGGGTTTGGCTTTGGCTTAGCAAGCCAACGAGGAGAGTTTTCTTTTGCACTTCTGTGCTCAGGCCTCACCTGCTCCCAAGAGACAAAAGGTCACACAGCAGAGCAGCCGTGTAGTGGCAAAAGGCTGAGGCTGTTTCAGTCCTCATCGGCAGCCTGCCTGTGACGTGACTGCTTTGCAGACTAGCCTTCATGGGACTGATTCTTGTTCCTGACAACACACTCACTGGTATTTACTGGAAGGGACGTTTATCCTAGCTGAGTAAATATATCACAGGTTTTTCTTCATTTTAATATATTTACTTTATTAATATAATACATAGATCCTTTTCAAAATTTATGAAGCAAGCACACTAATGAAATAGTAAACATTACTTCTGGGCAGTGATTAAATTCTTCACGCCTTAGTGATGGGCATTTTAGATCTGTCTCTTTCTCTCCCTTTCTATGTATATAAATGCATTTATATATATGCATTCTTTTCAATTAAAAATTCTTCAAGTGCTATTTTATAATCCTTTTTAGTTAGCGATTGTATTTCCTTTTCCACCCATATTTACTATTCAATTTTTATTCAGAAATCCACAGTTGTCTGCTAACTGAATTTACCATTAATTTGTATTTCCATTTCTAACTTGGTGTCAACCTTTTTTTTTTTGTAACAGGAATTGAACTTGGGACCCTGCACTTGCCAGGCAGGCACTTGTGCTGCTGAGCTACATCCCTGGCCCTCACTGCTACTGCTATTAATTACCTAATCCTCTTTTAGTACAAGAGATCCCTGTTATTGTTGTTGTTACAACCCTGAGTCTAACCCCTCCTTTGAAAATTTTTCACATTCTTGTTATTTTGGGTGTATTTTAACTAGTTCTTTTACTAGTATTTTTTTTTTAGGTATTTCTAATTTTTCCTGATTTTTCTGTCCCTACTTATTTTATGTAGCACACTACTTTTTGTTTTGGTTTCCACTGGTTATTCTGCATCTCTTTTAATTCCACTATTAATCATTTGAAGTGCATAATTCCATATATTTCTCCTTACTCATTCAATTTTCCAAGAAGTTTTTCTCTACTTTAGAAAACTGGTATAGCATATATCAACAAGACTTTGGTAATTTAAATGAGCACTACAACAAGTAATTTGAATTGGGAAATACCAGGCTTCTTTAATCTCCTTTAAGAACCAGAATAACACTATACGTTCAAGCATGTTCTCTCTGCTTTTTAAATCTATATTTTGGGTGGAAATTTATGACATTATAGCTGAATCCTTTATGTATAAAGCTGAATTCTCCAGAACCTAAGTCATTTGTCTAGTTCTATCACTTCTCAGTTTCACATCTGTATGTACAACAGTGTAATTCCACTTTTCATCTGATTGTCCCAAACATTTTGAAACCTTTCTCTCCCAAATGGAAATTTCTAGTATTAATAAAATCACATATTGCTTGAAGTTGTGGTCTTTGTATGTATCCA